CCTCCCAAGTAGCTGGGACCACAGGCGCCCGCCACAACGCCCAGCTATTTTTTGGTTGCAGCCATCATTGTTGTTTGGTGGGTCCGGGCTGGGGATTCGAACCCGCCACCTTAGGTGTACGTGGCTGGCACCTTAGCCGGTTGAGCTATAGGCGCCGAGCCAGTTAATAGCTACTTTCAAGCTACAGTGGCAGAATTGGGTAGTTGCAACAAAGGTTGCATGACCCACAAAGCCTAAAATATTTATTATCTGGATTTTTACCAGAAAACTTTGCTGACCTCTTATATACATGCATTATAATGTATTTAATCTTTTGGTATTATAATACAGCATTGAATAATCTTGTACATGAAACATTTCACATGTATGAATAGGATTAGAGGATACAGTTCTGGAAGTAGAATTGCTTGTAGAGTTTTAAATTTTGTGTGGTATGTTAAATTTTTCTAATTCTGTTAATTCTGCATCAAGGGAAAAGGCAGGAGAAGAAGGGTGAGAGTGGACAAAGACATCTCTTTTCCTCTCTTGGTAAAATGGTTTGTGGCACTGACAAAGTCAAGTTCCTGTTGGGAGCCCTTGAAGAGACTGTTTGGCTCTTGTGAGAGGGAGAGGAAAGAAAAAGAAGCAGTAGTTGCTGGCAAGTCCTGGAGGAGAGGAGCGGAGCCAAGCTTGTTCCTCCTGAAGGCATGCCTGGTGTAGACCCAGATGCAGGGGAGAGGGAAGTTTGTGTACTTATCTGGGGGAAGAAGGTAGGCAGATTAGCACACAGGTGGAACTACTTGCCTCTTAATAACTCAAACCAGAGAGACATCAACTATGATGCTTTATTAGGCATCAAGCTTTATTATTCTAAATGACATGGCACTAATATCCTGATGAATAGCAACCTAGGCAATTTGGAAAAGGGAAATCTTTGTGAGACCTACTCAGAAACATTTCTATTTACTTGGTTTATTTTCCCACATTTACCTATTCCTTCCTTGTCACTCTTCTTTCAGTGAAGAAAAATACCATGAAAAATTACATCTCTTACTTTTCATCTTCCATTTTTCCCCCTCCTACAATGAAAAAGAAACCAGTACTGCCACCTGAAGTATTTCATCTGTAGTGGAGGGGACAGGGTTGAGAGTAAGGACTAGTTAACCTCTCTCCTGTAGGGATGTGAGAACTCAGAGCCATTTGCTTCTCCCCAGACCCTTTATAATAAGCCTTTGGAAGTCTTAGTTTCAGTTGTCTGCTTTCTCTTCTCAGGATCCAAAGATCTTAAAGTATGAAGTGGAACCCGGGAAAGGTGCTGAGGCAAATTACACCTTTTAATCACTTGTAAATCATTGTCCTTCCTCTCTAATTGCACATTACTTGATTTAAGGACGTTTTTTTTTTCTTAAAAGCTCAAAGGAATTATTTAAGAGCTACGTATTGGGAGATGTAGCTTTTGATTTAACATTGTCACTGTTTTCTGGAGGTCCTTTAGTCAAAAGAGGCGAGAATTTCAAAGATTCTTAAAGGTTATTTGTGACAATAATAGACTCAAATCCAGATGTTTGCCTTATTTTGTTTTTATTTTCTCATTCAAGAAAGAGGGGAAATGGTGGGAGAGATAATTATGTAGGTAATTTTGCTATCCTCTGTTTTCCTCCTATCCCCCCTTTTTCTCCTCCTTCCTCTCTCCCTCTCCACCTTCCTACTCCCTCATCTTCCACCTCCTATTTTTTATTTTTTTATGGCTAGTCCAAAATACTAATTTTATCAGCTGCCCTCCACTTAGAAATTTGGAAGATTTGGGGGGGTCCCTGAGTAAATAACCGTTATTGAAAGTTAAGATAATAAATTCATGTTCATTCTTTCTCTGTTTCTTCCCTTTTTTATCTCCCCATATTTTGTGCAGATTCATATTCAAAGGACCGGGGACCTTGGATAGTAAAACCGGTGGCTTCTTCTAGGGGGCGGGGCGTCTACTTGATCAACAATGTAAGTATGCAGCAGATGTCATACTTTTCTTATGTGTTCTTTTCTCCCTCACCCTTTGTCCTAAATACTAACTAATATGGTTCCATTTCATTAAGAGCAGATGTATCCTTCTGAAATCTGCATTTAAAATTGAGTTAGGGTGGATATGAGTTGGCTGTTGTTCACCTTACTCGAAGGAAATTCTTTATTCTCCAACAGTTAATCCATAGCTTAAAAAGTCACTTGATCAGATTTTAGAGGAGGGCAGCCTTTTGTGTTAGTAGAAAAGAGGTACCTTTTCTGCTTTCAGCATATTGCCATATTAATCCTTAGCACTAAGCATTCATTGGTAGCATATATGTTTAGTTTCTACTGTGAGCAGAACTTTGCGTTCCTGCTCTTAAAGTTGTCAAGCAGGTTAACATTAATTTAGTATCATTGCTGCTGCTACTGCTGCCTCTACTGCCTTCCCCTTCCCTTTCCTTCTCTTACTCCTTTTCTTCTTTCTTCTCTTCATCTACATTCTCTTTTTCAAAAATCATCAGTTGGGCTTGGCGCCTGTGGCTCAAGCAGCTAAGGCGCTAGCCACATACACCTAAGGTGGCAGCTCCTGAATCCAGCCCGGGCCTGCCAAACAACGACGGCTGCAACCAAAAAATAGCCGGGCGTTATGGCGGGCGCCTATAGTCCCAGCTACTTGGGAGGCTGAGGCAGGAGACTTGCTTGAGCCCAGGAGTTG